ATCTAAAGAATTTTAATATTATAGACAATATAAAAGTACACTTTTATCAAATATATTATTACTATCAAACAAGTTAAAAAAAAAAAAAATAATGCATATAAATAGAATGTTAATGCAAATGGGAAAGAAAAAAGTTTGAATTTTCTTAGAAAAGTATGAGTACCATGAATACCAATACCAAGAAACAAAAATCTTTTATTTATAGTTACTACTTTTTTTAGCTAGCTTTTAAATTATTTTCTCCATAAGAAATTGGTAATCATAAATAATGATTCCATATAATCATAATATGGACCACAAACTTTAATAATGACGTCATAATAATAAACTTCATATGACTAAGAGTATCATAATATAATATAATTCAAATTATTCTCATCTGAAATATTTTGACAAAGTGATATGCTTCTCAATATTACAAATTCGATTGATTGGGAAAAGTATTAAGACAAATAACTTTGAAATCATTGCAACAACCAAAATAGTTAATGATTTGCAAACAACAGGTTATGTAGTTTGTCAATCTTCTAAATAAATAACACTAAAAAGAGAATGTTCGATTCTGATCAAAATGTTTTTGAATGTTTGAGTAAGTTGTCACTTTTTAATATGAACATTTACAATCTTAATTGTGTATTGTGCTCGAGAATATGCGCAATTACTTTAGAGTATGTACTTCATGTAATATGATGATAATAAAAATAGTTTAGCATCTTTTCGAAGAAGTACATGATTTTGAAAAATCAACTTTTATTTAGAAATAAAATTCGTTCTCACTTATATGATAGGTACCAATTTGTCTATATGGGGAGAGAGAAAGAGAAAGAGAGAGAGAGAGAGTAATGTAGTAGTTTATACAATGATAAAAAAAATCACGAATTTCAGTGACACGGTTGGTTATTTCACATAGATAATTATGAAATGTTAGTTGAAATATCTTAAAATGATCGTTCAATTATGAAGTTTGACTATATGTTTGGCTAAAGTATTTATAAGTGTTGAATAAAGTAGACGTTTTACTAATTAATTAAGAATAATTTTGCAATACTATTG